TGACGCGCCGCGCACGCACCTCTGACCTGTTTCACCTGACACCGCAGCCGAGCTTTTGCGAAATCCCAGTGCAGCCTCCGAGATTCTCAAGGATTAACATGCTTACCACACCTGTTCCATTCGCTATCCGCTGAGCTTTTAGCTTTTTATTTTTCTTTTCATTTTCCAATTTACTCACATTCCATTCATCTCTTCACACTTTCATTTTCATTGGTTCTATATACCTTCTTTTGCGCTCTATAAACTCGACAACTTTTTAAAATTCAGGACGAACCGCGCTCGCGATCACCTGGAGCGTATAGATTAAGAACAGACAAGAACATATTTTATTATCGATTTCATATTGCACGAGTCAACAATTTACTGACAAATATCCTGCCTTTGTTAAACAAGCTTGATATCGTCGTAGGCAGACTTTTATATTTTGCTCTCGTTAGTTTGCTGCCAGCTAATGGCTAACACATATAGGAGTATTGATAATCGTTCCGTTCGTGGTTTTTATTTTTACGCCAGCCTTTTGAAATCAATAGTGAAAAAATTGAAATTCTATGAATAACTGCGAAAGTTATACAGAAAGTTTTTAGATACTTCATAACGGAATGTTTGAATGCAAGCTGTCATAACTTTTTATTCTAAGAGTTTTTGAAATTTTTTATTCGAAGCAAGGGTAGGCGAGATGTCACGTTCCGCGTCCCCGAAAATACTAAATTACTTTATGTGGATAGTAATTTACACTCCAAAAATGTTTTTTTTTCTTTACATTGAAAAAAATTTAAGGACGGATTTGAACAAAAAATTTGTAAGACATATATTTGGCTTGATACCCAAGCGAATTCTTTTCCTCCGCTCGCGAGTGTGAAATCGTAAAAGATACGTGCAGTATAGCAAGAGGCTTCAAGCCGTCGCTCATAGTTTCTAGCTTGTTTAATTTCGCTTGGAAGATCCTTCATAATTCAATGACTTTGTCAGAGCAGTGCCATTTTACCAAAAAGAGCTGAAGATTCAAGACTCGCGGACAATTCAAAAGGTATTCGTTGTAAAAAGAAAGCGCTTGTGCAAATTTTTTTGCGTTTCGTTATCTCTTGTTTACACTAGAAATTTAAATTTTACTCTTGACTGACATTTCGCTACTTATGAAATATATCACATTTTCTAATTGTCCCGATAACAAAAACTATTCACAATAAATAAATACCATTTTAACACTCTTCTTGTTCAAATGCAATAAATTATATATTGAGGTTAGCATTAACATTAAAGCACAATAGCTTGCTCGTGACTCTCTTGTGTAATTAATGAGAATAAAACATTTTAACTTCATTGGAACTGCGGCAGATCGTTTGTTTGGTAACATTGATAAAATGACAATCGGTCGGTTGACATTGCGCAACTCGTGTCAGAGAAACAGGAAAAGTAGTTCGACTTGCGCGTGGAGATTCCGATTGCATTTTGTAATTACTTCCGGTAATCGCATAGACGAACACTTGGCACATGTCTCTGCATTTGTGTTTGCACGTCCTTGACAGATTTATAGAGTCAAGTTCACACGCATGCAAGCACTACGATCAGTAATATTGCTTACCTTCACACCTTATCACATCACATTGACCATTTCGTCGTCAGTAAAAAACTTTTAATTTCGCGTAAATAATTAAAAAACCCATTTAGCATGATTAATGACTGCAAAAGTAGGCATTCGTAAATGAAGACTCTAGTTTCTTGTTCAAGCGTTGTCATTATTTTGTTTGTATAAAAATGAGTGGATTTGGTTGCAAGTAAAACGCGCCTGATTGCAACGACAGTGCCCTAATTATACAAGCACACAAAGACGATACGTGACTATCTACACTTACTCTAGAGTGTTGAATTTCATTGGAAACTGTTAATTAGAAAGATTCTTCGAAGTCAGATTTAGCATATTAAAATAAATGTAAATTAGCAAGATCGTTAATGGTTTTTATTTCTGATCTATGTTGAAAATATTTATATACTTGCCTTTGCCATCCTTCTCCCATAAAGCATCTCCGCGGCGTACAGGACTGTCACTCATTAATCCAGCTGGGCAGATTGTAAATCAGAAAGGGCCTTGGCTCGTGCAGCAATGTGATAGACGACAACGCGTTGGATATTAATTCGACAATAGTCGCTTAATTTAGCATGCTGATGAAAATACTTGGTTGCGATTCCCCTGGAAACGCCTGTGCAAACAGATGCCTGTAGGGCGCGTGGAATAACGCGTTGCAATCGCTCCGCAGCGACGTCACACTCGTGCGCCACAGACGAACGCGGCGATAGATAGCATTTAGTATTTGTTATCTCCAACGAAGTGGACCACCTTGCGCATACGAAATTAGCCGTGCGGATACCCGTACACCGCAGCGCCGCAATGCGCGCGTGGCAGGGAAAGTCGATGCCACCGTTTCGCTTTAATCCTTTTGCACAAAGCAATCGCTTAGGCTCGCACGCCGATCGCGCGTATTTGGCGCCATGACAACTCTAAAAATGCACAGATCTACGCCACACTTCATTCATTCCCATTCCTGATGCACTAGAACCTTTCCTCGGGCAGTCCGTATTAGTTTCACACCCGTTCCGCAATGCCACATAAAACTTGTCAGTCCAGCGCACAGTTGAATTGGATGTGTTTTCGGATTCTCGTGCCACGACCTCTTTGAATTTCCCTCGAGACGCATCATTCAGCGGGCATCGCCGCACCTCTCAAAAGCACCCTTTGTTACACTGTAAATTTGATAAGTCTCGATTACTCCTTTCAACTGTGCTTTTAGAGCAAAACCTTTTCTTCGGAGTCAAACAACTGATATGTAACGTCATAAGACGTTCTTCTTTCAAATCAAACCGAAATCTAAATAAGCGAGAGTCGGCCATGAACGTGTTAATCCAAAAATGCGTTACAAGCAGTTTGCGCGAAATTGTTTAATACGAATGTTTGGCAAATATCTTAGATTGAATCAAGTGAATGTAATTTCAATATAAACTTAAGCAAACTGCAAAACTCTGACTTGCGGATTCTGCTATTCTACTTAAGAGGCTCCCGCAAGAACGCATCAACAAGCTACAAGGTAAAGATAAACTCACTTAGAAATATTTCTCATTTTTACTCTATATTGAGCCTATCTACTAGGCACATATTGGTAGGTCTTTAAATGATTGTATTTCTCCTAACGCTCAAGACGTCACAGATATATTTATCCTTGTTTTGCAGCAACACAGAATGATAAAAATGTATTGGAAAGAGCTCTTATCGAAAGATTACGCAGAAGTTTACGAACTGTAAAAAAAGGCTCCAAGGTGTACGTGAGCGGGCTGAGAAGGAAGATTCTAGTTCTACCCCTTGTTGGCTACATAATCCTGTTCTGAATAATAGATCGCTGGGAAGATGCGGCTAGAGCTGTAGTAACTCACTTTTACTCCGGTACGAGCGCGAACCTTTATCTTTCAACGTGCGAACACTTCGTTGTTATAATACATGAAGAATTTATGCTATAGGATACTCAAATTGAATATTACGAATATCCATTGTCTCGTAACAAAGCACGTACTTATTATATTACTCATCAATTTGACGTGCTTGGAAAATTATTTGTTATATTTACGAAATTGGATGGGCTTATATTGGTGAAAACTTTACATGACGCTTTCAGAAAAGACGGATGTCTTGCAAAGTCATTTGTCAGATGAGTGAATAATTTTTCGACTTTTAATCAGAACATTAACGGTGCACTTCTAAAATTAGTTTTCTAAATTTAAGAAGCTCTTATATATAATAGAGCTGGCACTGCATAGCACGTAGTCGGCTGAGTTCGATCGTCGCTTTATTTATTCTTAGATGTCTCTTTCAAGTCACCAAGATCGCAATGCGAATTTTGAACGTCATCTCAGTACGACGGGAAATTAGCTATAAACATAAACGACTCAAAGTTTGAACCGGTCAATTCAAACCGAAGAAATAATTACATTAATTAAGAAATTTGTTACAAGCCGTCAATGAAGAAACACTAGTGGAATTTACCCATTGACAAAACTGAGAGGTAGGCTCAATCATGACCGATAGTCATTACAATCTTATAATCAAAAAACGCGTACGCTAGCTAATTTACAGTTACTTACACATTTATTCATGTAAATAAAGATCAAAGCAATTTTATCGTTCTATCACTGCATTTTTTATCTAGATAATATTTCCAATTGGCTTGTGTAGAGAGTGTGGTAAAGTTTCAAAATAATTTTTGTGCACATGAACGAGCCAAGCTTTTATAGATGTTTCTCATCTACCAACCGCGCATTTTCCCTCGAGTGGCTCTGGAGAGAATAACGTGCGCCGACAGGTTTAGCAAAAATAGTGGAATATAAGTTACCTTCGCCAAAAGCCACTTACGGCCGACTGATTACTGTGTCGCGATCCGGTGGACCGTTCACGTATCTGTGTTGCTGTCAAAAATAGATAGATTGAATTCGAGTGCTACCGAATACATAGATATACCCAGGCATACCCCGTCCACGTGACAGTTAAGAAACTACCATCTCGAAGATGTGTGCGATATCGACACATTCTTTAGATTTTCATTTCAATAATGTTCCAAATATTTTGCTTTTCATTAAATCTCTTTCCAGCTGAGCAAATGGAGCAATAAAGAAAGGCATTACTTTTTTTTCTGATGTTACTGTATATTTTTTTAAAACTTTTCCTAAACAAATGTCAATTGTTATTTTAAATATACCAAAAATTTGCCGACTGCGACCTACCTTAACAATTTTTACATTTCATTAACTCTAGAATATATTTTTAACAAACTTTTTCTCTTTGAGTTTACTGATGTTCATTAAAAACTGTTCATCTGTCACCTACTAACGTGTTCATAATTACTGAAACAATAAAAATCGCACAAGCGACAAGGTACAGTTGAAGCAAAACAAACACCCCGGCCCCCTTAATCTCGTAATGTTACGTTATAAAAGATAGATTGTGCGTTCATGACACTTAGTGGACGTATTTGATGTGACACGAAAAGTATCGTAAGCCAAAGAATAATTATCAAGAATCGCGTGCTGTTCATCTTTAAAGGTAAATTATATACTATTGCCTAACAATTTTTGTTAAATATTTTCTACCTTACATTAATGCTTTCGATAATTTATTTGTTGTTCGCGAAAAACAAACACGAATTATAAGGGTTGCCCATTTAAAAAGTTGTATTTGAAATTTATTTATACACATTCATAAAACAATTGACTCGATCCGGTTTGCATTGAAATAAATGGAGAAAATCTTGAAAATGTTCCATTAAGCATTGAGTGCATTTGACTGTCTTTATTGCTAGGAGAAACATGAGATCTCGACTAGTCCTTGGCGCGTTTGCTTTACTCTTTGTCGGAGCTCATGGAAAAACGGAATGGTGGAATTCTATGTCATTGTATCAGATTTATCCAAGAAGTTTTAAAGACAGCAACGGCGATGGAATAGGTGACCTCAAGGGTGAGTTTTCTTTGTTTGGATTTCGATTCTGCAGATTTATACATCTTGGTGCTTTCAACAAAATAAACGACATTTTATACTAGCAAATTATAAAAGTAGACAAATAATCATCGAAATGCTGAATAAAGCTACGAAAATATTTGTATCAAGGTGCTAAAACTGAATCATAATGCGATAATATTGCTAATGGTACATGCAAGAACGCAGTATTGCGGCGTAATTATTCCTATTATTGAGTATTGCTTCTCAGTGGTTTGGTTGGCAACAGCAGCGCAGGATACTAAAACCGTAATATTCCACGTTGTGTTGATTAATAAACCAATATTTAGCAAATACTAGATTTAAATTATTAACTTTGTATTTACGAAATGACTTTTTTTAAAGTCCTTTATAACAGCAACTAATTAAGTCATTAAACTCGTGCTATAGAATAAAAAAGAAACATTTTATTGTTGCACGTGCACTTATTCTCTTGCGATTCGCGTAATGCGATTTAGCGTTTTATCTCTACTGATGAATCTGAGATTACGTCAATCAATGAAGAATGTGTAATAAAAAAAATAACTCGATAAATCATGTCTTTATATCGCACGTTAATATTATAACTGAAAGCTTTATGCGCGACTAGTAATAAAGAACGAAATATGTTGGAAAATATGGATTACTCATAATTCAAAATTCATACGCGTAAGTTGGAATGGATTATCAACTATTTAATGAGCTTGTGAATATGCATCATAGGCAGTAATATACGATAAAGAGGTGAATGAGAATATCGAATATTCATGATGAAGTTCTCGTTGTTTGACAATAATACGACTACCATTATTTCGTATTATTTTTTATTGTTTATTAAATAGTTCATACAAGCGTAAATCATAACGTAATTAATTATCGGTATATTGCTCTCGCTTGAGAAAACGAACCTCTGTCACGTATAGAACATAAAAGTATAAATTCTAGGTTGACAAAGAGGATAAAAACTGATAACTCTGAAAGCCAAGCGAATGGAATTAAACTAAAATTACGCATAGGGGGCGCGCATTTTAAAAGCAACGCTAAAATGAAGCGGGACGGCTACTACAGCGCGCGCTATCCTGATTGAAATTTTATCGAGTCACGCAAAACATGAGATCGGTCTCTCGCAGTCTGGAGCGCATGACATTGACGCGCAATGATAGTCATGAGGAATTGAGCCCCAGGCACTGAATTAATCGAGTAGCTGCGGCACTTGTAGTTCGACTTCATCGCGACTGTCACCGAATCGCCGACGATACACAGACTAAGCGAATTATCCGCTTTTCGGGCTACTCGACCCTCGTCGTCTGCTCCTCCTCCCCCTCTTTCCTCCCGTCCCACTCTCTTCTGCATACATATTTCACCAACCTCGATACAAGAGGCCAAATCCGACGTAGTCGTGTTTTTGTTTAATGCAAATACTATCATGCGAATTTTTTAGCTGGCAGTAAAATTAAACTAGTTTGAATTCATATTTTCCAAACTGCTCTGCGAAATACATGGACAAACAAAATAATTTACTCGTTGCAATTTCATACTCATTTAAATTGACGACATTTGCAGAGTTTCCGAGATTAATCAATAGAATTTCGGAGCGATGAACCGATTGAATCGGTTTCGCCATAACATTCCAATTACATTCGACGAACAAAGCTGCGCCCGATGTGGTACCGCTTACGTAACGCGGCTGTAATAAATAAAGTATTAAATAATAGCTAGGTTAATTGCCTCACTACGCTTTCTCCTTCAAACAGAAGCGCAGTATCATTTGCGTGACCGGATGCTTTGAAGAAACAGGAAAAGTATCACAGCGGAAATTAATATTCATTATTAGTCCAGCCCATTTGTAAGCCCCACAAAAGACTTATGAAAATCAAAAGTAGAAACGTTGGGCGAGCGAGACACTTTATTCTCACAGGGCTATACAGATCAATAGATAACGTTTGTTCCGATCTATTTTGCCATCGCTATGACGCAATGAGTCCTATGAAATATTCACATATGTAGGTATACGTACACTTGCGTATCTATAGATTCACACTATTATAGGTGCGTGTCTATGTATATATCTTGTAAGTTACTTTGTCAGCACTCTCTGCAGTAACAACAATTTAGGTATTTAGGACCTCCTAGACAGTCTTGTTCAACAAAAGATTTATCACTTGTAGGAATACAAAGCAAATTGCAACACTTGGTTGAATCAAAGTTTGATGCATTCTGGTTATCTCCAATATTTCCAAGTCCCATGGTGGACTTTGGATACGACATCTCTGATTTTGTGGGTATCGATTCGGTGTACGGCAGCATGCAAGATTTTGAGAATCTGTTAGAAGAGGCGCACAACCGTTCACTCAAGGTGATCCTCGACTTTGTACCGAATCACAGCTCGGATAAGCACGAATGGTTTCAAAAAAGTATTAAAAAAATTGACCCTTACACCGACTATTACATTTGGCATGAGGGCAACTTTGAGAATGGAGAGAGAAAGCCGCCGAACAACTGGGTAATTGTTCAAATTGTAAGCTCTAATTGAAGCAAACTTGCGGAATAATTCCACGAAATTGTAGGTGAGCGTTTTCCATGGACCTGCTTGGACGTGGAACGAAGAGAGGCAAGCATATTATTTCCACCAGTTTGCTGCACAACAACCCGATCTCAATTACCGCAACGAATACGTCGTCCAGGAAATGAAGGTAAAATTACACGAAATGTCATTAATATAAAATTGGATTCTAGGGATCCCATAGGGCCATAACTTCGATCGAATGGAATTTCAAGCAAACTGCATAAACGGACATGGCTGTAATTGAATGTGTGTTGCAGAACGTATTGAGATTTTGGCTAGACAAGGGCGTGGATGGTTTCCGGATGGATGCGATTCCGCACTTGATGGAAGTGGAAGACCTACGAGACGAGCCGCTGAGCGGCTGGAGCAACGATCCCAACAGCTACGACTACCTGAACCACATCTACACGAACAGTCTGCACGAGACTTACGAGATAGTGCGCCAGTGGCGTGAGGTATTGGACGAGTACGAGGCAACGGGCAGACAGCGCGTCATGATGATCGAGGCTTATGTTAGCCTCGAGCTCACGATGAAGTACTACAGGTACGGGGCTCACTTCCCCTTCAACTTTGGCCTCATCACATCCGCCGGCGCTGACTCGAGCGCCACCAAATTCAAGGAGCTCATCGATAACTGGATGATCAATATGCCCCCAGCAGCTACGGCCAACTGGGTGGTGAGTGTTTCACTCTTTCGCGGTATTTGTTCTTATATTTCATTCATTCAGTATTCACACATATTTGCTTCCCTGTCTACTCGAGCCGCCCCCCCCCCCCCGCCCTGCCCAAACTATGAAAAAGCCCAGAGCGTGACATGCTGAACTTTTTACCAGACGCATTTTTTTTCTTTTGTGCAGAGCCGTGTCGCTGCGGCTATTTTTGCCTTAATTTACTTTCGCATCGCGTGTCTAAAACATTCATACACCACGTTCCATGTATAATCCAATCCTACCTTTTTACGAGTTTATTTTATTTATGCTTCGGAGGCTAACAATACCTTCTGTCTCTCACTTTTGTTGTTTTTGGTTTTCGAGTAATCTTCGTACGATTGTATCAGTGTTTTCATAGCGCTTAAAGTCGTTGATAATTAGTTAGAGAGAGGGGGGGGGAACTTGTGAGGTCTACGGAGAAATGTTTTGTCGGTCAAAATCGTATTAGATATCATATGAATGGGTAGCTTAAAAAGCAGTTTACTGCATAATTAGTAAGCGAGTTGGTGCAAACTTTGACAGCGCCAATATTTACCGAGGGTTAGAATCAATACTGACAAAGTGTTTGTGTAACTATTAAGATCTCCGAAGCAGCAAATATTCTCGGGATAATTGTTCCAACGAAGCAAAATCGAACGGCCAAACAATAAATTTTCCATCAGTCTGATCTTACGTCCGACTCTAGACGTTCAATCTTAATTATCTGAGGCCTGCGAAAAAAAAAATAAATGAAGCTTAGCTGGTTTTTCTCCGGGGAGTTACGGATATGAACGCTGCGGATGTTTTTCCTACTTAATAGCAAAACACGTATACATCAAGAAAACGATAAAAAAAGACGAGAAAAAAAAGAGATGCGATAAAAACGAGGGTTTTCTTAATGGTGGACAAGCGTTGGCGATTATCTGAAAGGAAAGTAATGGGTTGCGCGGTATGGTGACGATTATTCCCAGGCGGGCAATCACGACAAACCGCGGTTGGCGACGCGCTACGGCGTTGGATTCGCGGCCGCGGTGACAGCAATAGTACAGCTGCTTCCGGGAGTCGGGGTCACTTACTACGGCGACGAGATAGGCATGGAGGACACATGGCTGTCATGGGAGGAGACGCAGGATCCCCAGGGCTGTAATGCCGGCCAGCAGAGCTACGAGACGGCTTCGCGCGATCCCGCAAGGACGCCTTTCCAGTGGGACGATACCACTTCTGCCGGTGAGTAGCCCTCCTCTATATTCTGCCCCTAACGAGAGCTTGATTCCGCTTCGCGTGTTTTCTGTTTTCTTCACTTCTGGGATTCGCCGCCCGCCACGCGTTTTTTGCTTGTTATATCTCCGCTCCCTGGCATTTTTCTTACTTTTCATGTTTCTCGCTACTTGCCAAGGGAGTTTTGTCCTCGACAGCGTGCTTCAACGCGAATTTCTAGTCCGCTCAGTCCTTTGTTTCATGTCAATGCAAACGATTTGGACTCGGCTCCTCTTGCGCCTGCTAGAAAATGTCACTCGTGAATTTTGACTTTCAGGTTTTTCAACCAATCCGAAGACCTGGCTTCGCATCAACGACAACTACAGAATCGTCAATCTTGCTGCTCAAAAGGCAGCCGACAAGTCGTACTACAAGTCTTTCCTGATGGTTTCAGAGTTGAGGAAGTGGCCGGCTGTAAAAGACGGTTCGCTCGAGACCAAGTTATTAAATGACAACGTATTTGCCTTTTCGAGGTAAATCATTGTGTTCTGCTTGGTTCCGAACACTGTTTCTGCATTCGTTGAATATTTCAAGTCACGACTTCTGACTTTGTCAGTCGAACAATAATTGTGTGTTTTTACGATCTTACAAAATGTCCTCGTTATTTTCCAGGGAGCTCGCAGGCGAGAGGTCGGTTTACGTTGTGATAAACGTGGCGCATCAGCCGCAAACCATAAATTTGGAAGCTTTCGAGAATGTTCCGTCTAGCGTGCAACTGTACCATTCTACTTCCGACGCCGGCACTACTTCAGTCGGGTAAGTTTGCTTTTATTGCAAATAAACCCCGAGTAGCTTTGACTACTTCTTAAGATTAGCCATAAACCTTGTATATCGCGTACATAATCTAACTGTACACGATTGCTCAAAACTACTTGAAGCTGACATTTTTTAAATTCATCATTCGCGTTTTTATCACTTGAGAATAGAAAATAATAGATCCAATTGCGCGTGACTGATCAATATCAATATTAATGCGATTGATTGACGGCCAGGCGTTTTAACGAGGATATCTGCTTTAATGCCGAGCTAGCAAACTCAATCCCATCAGTGAGCAGCTGAGCTTATTTAGCAGCACGCGTGCGAGCTGAAGCTCGCCACTGTCTATACGTTAGCTTCACTCCTCTCCCCCTACATATCTCTGCATTTCATTGCTCACTGACAGGATCCCTTACGCTATAGACAAACACAAATTACGTAATAGCGAAGCAGATCAGCTGCCTCTTGTGCATTATATACTGTTTACTCTCACTGTACGCGCGTATACCTGTATGTATCCGCAAGGTATGCGCGCCTCGTTCAATATTATATATATACGCCGTTCGCCTCTCTCGCTCTCAACGGTTCTGAGCAATCTCATTCACGGCTTTACGATACGACTGCATTTAATGCACTTGGCTCCTTATTAATCCACTTAACGTCGACATCAACACCCACTCTGTTCGCGTATATATATATATATATATATATATATATATATATACGCGAACAGAGTGGGTGTTGATGATATATATATATATATATATATATATATATATATATATATATATATATATATATCGATCGATCGATCGATCGATCGATCGATCGATTTGTTCTCACTGTGTCCCGTTTATATTTATAATACTTACTGTCCGTCGTAAATGTGTTAACAAAATATCTATAATTGTTTCTAGGGTCGAGATTTCTCCGAAAAGTCTGCTGATCCCAGCTCGGGCTGCCTCTATTTATATCAGCGGTGGCCATTGTCGTCACTAGACGTCAAAAGGCCTCAAAGAACTGGCAATCACAATGGACTAAGCTGATTCGCGCTGCACTGTGACTACGTTTTACTGGGAATCATCGTTTGCTTGGCAACGCTTGCTCTGCGCACACGCTGACGCTACTCGCCGCCTCTATTCGCACTCGCAATTAGGATATTTGCACGAGATTCACTTTTGTTCAACGTCACAGCTGCTGTTGTAACACTGAATTCGTTTAAAGTACATGTTAACGCTGCTGCTCACACCATTATAATATAGACAAATAAAACGTTAATACGTAATGCAAGTAACGCGTAAATCCAATGGTTTAAAACCTAGAACTTTGGTAGGTTTTTTGTTTTTACGCCACCGAGATGACATCATCAAGAAAATAAATCTAATTTCAGCGGCGCCAATCTGATCGCAGCAGGGTAAAGTAAAAAGTTGCAAAAACATTTCAGTGCAAGCTCTCAGCTTTAATCAAAATGCCAAAGATAAGTAAAGGATACATCCGCTTTTTCTTGCTCTGCTAATTACGTGATTAAGCGAAAAGCATCGCGCCTGTACAGTTTTATTGGCAGCTGACACGACTACTCCACCGATTCTCCTTGCTGATTGTACGCTCGTGCCACGAGCTTCTCCCCGATCTATAGCTCGACCTACATACATCTTCAATTTTACTTGTCTATATCGCGACTTTGCAACGCATCCAGCCATGCAATAAGCTTGTGACTTCCAATTGACTTCCAACTGATAGATTGATGAGCATCAGGCTGGAATTTCAAAAATGTCGGCCGCCTTGCTATCACGATAATTATTTTCGTTATGCTCAATCTATCGAGTTATATAAAAATATTGATACGTAATATTTGTCTAAAACGTGTCAATTGATTTTTTGTGTTTACTGTGCGTATTAATAAAATTTACAATTTTATTTTTAAATTCTGTTATTCGATGTATTGTTATAACAGAAGCTACGTAAGCATTCTACATTTTCAAAACAAAATTTTTATTCAGCATCGTCGATTCGTTTTAGATCTTTGTTTTCAAACAAACATGCCACTCACAGATAATTATAGCCATTATACAAATACTGCGCTATTCTCTTCGTACGTTATGAGTTATAGAAGCTTCCGTAGAATTAATAAAAAATAATTTATTTAATTATTCCATATAAACTTAATTCATTACCACTTATGTAACATTTGTAAACTAAATGTTAATAGTGTATTATTAAAAACCAGTGATCAAACACATTTATCGTAATTTTATCGACGATGATAGAATAAAAATGAACTATTTCAAAAATAATTTTAATTAATGTTATTAAAAAAATTAGTGTAAAAGGAAATTTCAACTTAATATGTTTTTGCTAATGTGATAAAGCATACATTAAATGGAAAAGCGATATTGCAACTTGACACAAATCAGACAAGAAGAATTGAAATGTACGTTACCCGGAAATTAATTCGCGACTCCCGAAGTTCAAAATTCAAATACGAGTTGGGAATGAATGTCCGGGTAGAGTGAAAAACAGCTTTGCAATGTTGTATATTATTATTAAAAACGTGCATGACATTCTCGGAAGAGTTAAATGACTTAACGTCGAATAATTACACTCGCATTCCGGCAGATTAGATTAGCGAAACTAGCTGATTGTACATGGGAAGTCAATTGCGCTATGCACTTATAACTAGATAATCCCAAGGTCATCGATATGGATGCGAAGTACTATTATATTGAGCGTTAAACATCTTTGTTATTATTGTACAAGTGTAATTGTGTGTTTTCTCATCCATGAATGCGACACGACTCAAAGCGATGCTACAATGCGTTACTTTTGTTAGTATCGTTTCAAATGTCAAACTTTGAAAAACGCTAATCGCATGGCATTGCTAATTAGTGCGTGAATATGAATTATTAACCATTTCAGTTGAAATTTTATTAAAATATAATATAAGTTCCTTTGCATTTTATGTATTTTAATTAGCAAAAATGGTGCGCGAATTTATGCAATAATCTGTTGATCTGTCGTCATCATTCTTGAAGAAGAAGTTTTTAATACGGGCAATGAAACATGTTCTAAATTATTGGAAAACAATTAAGACTCTTATCATTTACGAATGAATAATATCGCGATAACAAAATAAAAGTTACTTTCAAGGTAGTCAATACCTATTGCACAGGAATCGTCATTTACAGCTAGCAAGGAGTCCGAGGATTACGCTTCTTTCTATTTGTTTAAGCACTTAGTCACCCGATTCTATATAAGGTCTAAGTATATCGGGAAACGTTGCAGTGAAAATGTGCTCATTTTATTGGTGCATTGGTGTTCTGTTCTTCGCTGGTTTCGCCACCGGAGAAATTAAAAATAAAGGATGGTGGAAAAATACCGTATTTTATCAAGTATATCCACGCAGTTTTATGGATTCTAATGACGATGGGACTGGAGATTTGAAAGGCAAGTGGCATGTCGTCAAAACATTTTTAGAGTAATAAAAGTTTCTATGTTAAGACACATAAATCTAATTAAAAAAAATTTCAGCTATACTAATTAAATAAATTTAATTCAATTTATGGCAATCATTGATCAGTTAGTTTACTCAACTCAAAAATTAATATTAGAACACATTACATACTACTTTTGATGAAGAATTCAAGAGTGAACAATTTGGTGACATAACAATATTAATAGAAAATGTCTGATGATTTTTAATAGCTTAAATGAGACATGTACACGTTAATTAAGTTTATACAAAAAGCAAGGTTGTACCGATGCGCTGCGCATTTTGATAGGATAGAAAAGTTTGTAGATAAAATTTTACATATGTAACTTTTGATTTGATGCAGTTCTCGTGATTCATAGGGCACATGTATAAGTGTTATTTTTGTCGATGGGTAATTTAAAAATTGATGATTTCTTAAATGAATACAATCAATTCGGGATTTAGTCCAATAATCCAAAAATTAAATCTCCTGGATATTAGATAATGTACTAATCTATTAAGTGCTTTTTTTTATATTTAAAAGGTTATATAATATTTTGCAATGAACGACAAAAGTAAGATTTTTTACAGGAGTACAAGTGATCACACGATAATTCGTGTATATACCTGATAATAGTTCCATGAATGTAAATATTTCTGGTAAAGATAAAATAAGATATGATTAATGTTTTAGGCACTGCTATTTATGCAGAAAATGTAATTTCCTAGGCACGTGATTGCAGCCACAAATGTTTTTAATATTACGCAAACATGGACAATTGCGTTTTCTACATTAATGGCAATTAGTCACCCGATATAACATATTTCTTGTTTAATATTGTAAAGAAAAAATTTCTTTCAGACAGAGCAGACTAAAGATACGTATATTGAAAAGCTACTTTCACACAGTAATTTTTTTCGCAAGGCTTGTAATGGCAATGATAATCTGTACAATTATAGTTATATACCAAATAATTATTTGTTGTTTTTTCTAATTTTATTTCATCCAGGAATAACAAGCAAGCTCCAGCATTTCAAAGACTCAGGCATAGGAGCAGTATGGTTATCTCCAATTTATGCGAGTCCTATGATTGACAATGGTTACGATATTTCTGACTTCCGCCAAGTGGATAGCATGTTCGGAACAATGGCTGATCTAGAAGAACTAGTAAAACAAGCCAAAAAACTTGGTATTAAAGTAAGCAACTTGATTTGAATGAAATGAAAAATTTCGAACCAATCTACTTATATATTGTCTATTTTTATTTCCAGGAATTTATATGTTGATCAGCGTGCAGGCAATTGTGCATGGTTTTATTATACACAAAAATTATTATGCACAGCAATATAGCGTACACACGCTGATTCACGCCATGTTACTGTGCATAATAGTTTATGTACATAATAAAATCGTGCATAATTTATTGTCTGCACGGCTTTGGATCAAATTAATATTTTATTACAAAAATTTTATTGATTTTAGATTATATTGGATTTGGTGCCTAACCATACATCTGACCAACATAAATGGTTTCAAGATGAAAACACGAAATACGATTATTACATATGGAATAAAGGAAAAGATAATCAAAAACCTCCTAACAATTGGCTAAGTGTGTTTGGTAACTCTGCGTGGACCTTACATTCGAAAATAGATTTGTGGTATTTTCATCAATTTTACGAGCAACAGCCTGATTTGAATTATAATAATCCTAATGTGCAAAAAGAGATGGAGGTACTTACGAATCAAAAACATTAGCTATCATTTATAATATTATTTAAAAAAAAAATTAATTTTATTCCCGAATTCAGGATGTTATTAAATTTTGGCTTGACAAAGGTATCGATGGGTTCCGAATTGATGCCGTTCCTCATATCTATGAACGTAATGACTTATTAGATGAACCAGAGTCGAAAATTCCTGGAGTAAAAGAAAATGAATACGATTATTTACTCCACATTTACACAAAAGACGATCCTCGTACTTATACGCTTATTCGTAAATGGCGACAGTTATTGGATGATTATGCCGATAAAAACAATTTGGATGAAAAGGTCGGTTCGTTGCATTAAGCTTCATTCAATTGTAATAATAGAGTACTTTGTGCTGATTTTATCATATACAGGTTATATTAACCGAAGCCTACACAAATTTAGAAAATACTACACAATATTATAACTTTGGATCGCACGTGCCCTTCAACTTCAATTTTATCATGAACGTTAATAACAAATCACATCCGGCAGACTTTAAAAAAGTCATAGATGACTGGATTTCTCACACTCCAGAAAATGAAACTGCTAATTGGGTGGTAAGAGTCTATTCATATTTGCTAGTGCAATGAGTTGTCTAATTAGATCCCGTATAACTTTCTAAAAAAAATATTTATTCGATAGATGGGCAACCACGATCGTAGTCGCACTGCTACGAGATATGCCGGTAGAGCTGATCAGATGACGATGTTAGCAATGATATTGCCTGGCATCGCGGTTACTTATAATGGCGAGGAAATTGCTATGGAGGATAATCCAGAACTTATCTGTGAAGAAAAAGCCAAGGAGGAGGCGGACCCGCAAGCAAACAAGTGCGACTTTCGTGATCCCGCTAGGACACCATTTCAATGGGATGATACAAAAAATGCCGGTGAGTTGTGACGCAATTAGATAACTGGTAATTTTAGATTCTTTACCAATTCCAAGCAATGGGTTGCAGTTTATAGATTCATAAATTACCTCTTCTATTTTCAAATTGTTATAAATTAAAATTGAATTTTTACTTCACTTTAATAATCATTGAACAACAATTAGAGACACGATTACTAGCAATATAATCGTCTAATATACAAAAATAATTTAAAAGCAATCTAGAATTTTGTGTACTTAACATTTACTAATTTTTAAATTTGAAGGTTTCAGTAAATCTAATACGACGTGGTTACCAGTACACAAAAATTATAAATCCTTAAATCTAGCTAATCAGAAGATAGCTTTAAATAGTCATTATAAGCTGTATCAAAAATTAACTCAACTGCGAAGTACATCAGACGCTTTGAAGAAAGGGAAGTTGCAAACTGAAGTATTAAATGATGGAAAAGTGCTGGTTGTTATACGTGATTATAACGATAAAAAGGAAATTGTCATTCTTCTAATAAATTTTTCGGATGACCAACCTCAATCAGTAGATATTAAAAAGTATACATCTATGGAACACCACGATACCAACATCTATGTGTCTAGCATTGGATCGGAAATTGGTTGGAAGTAAGTCTCGTACCATGTTTTACACAACAATGCACAATTTTGAAATTATATCTATTAATACTATTCAACATTGATTTGATACTAGTTCAACGGTTACTGGTCTGAAACTGACCTTACCAGGGAAAGCTTCTGTAGTGGTGCAAACTGTCGTTGGTAACACTGGTGGAAATAACAATGGGACTGAAACTGGTAAAGGAACTGGCACTAAAACTACATCAAATGCTGCAAAGACAGTCATTGTAACGAGTTTACTTATGTTTATTAAATTGAGATAGTTCAATTTAATTCATAAGTGAAATTTATTAAATATTAAAAATATTTGCATTTTTCTTAGTAAAAAATAATGCAGTAAGTGATTAAATACCACGAAAAATCAAGTTCAAATACATTTAATAAGATAAATTGTAATATAATCTGTAATCAATAAAGCAATTATTGATTACAGAAAGCGGGTAAAAATAGAACATAATTATTTTAATGATGGTATCATGGAAATTGCACGATGGTGGCCTATATTCCTCATGGGATTTATTACGTAACATGCAAAACTGAGAATTTACGATAATTCACTTTTGCGATTTCGAAGACATTCATTATCTACGCGTTAAAACAATTAATATATATTACATTTTTATATTGATAAGAATCATATAGCTTTTTCTCTTTTTGAAAAAGCACGCGTTCATTCCACGATAATCGCACATGTTTTGTAACTCTTAATAAACTAACCTAATAAAAATATTTCGAGAATAGATATTTTACGGCCAATTCAGATCATGTTACTTCTATAAAAAAAGATATACTTACGCAAGAAATTTATTCCATTAATTATTGAAACTCACCTGAAACAGAAAATATAAAAAATATATTAAAAATAGTTTCTTTAAAAAAGGCAGTATAATAGATATAAGTATTCATTATTCTCGATCTATGTATTTTGAATCGCAATATTACTTTCCTTACTAAATATAATGGTGTTGTTTGAAAAAATTTGTTTCATTCAAGATTAAGAATGCGTGGCGTGTAATTTTGGCTATTAAAAATATTTTAAACAAAAGTGGTTGATATCATGACAGATTTGTGAATAATGAGTAAATTATCAGTAAATTATATTTGCATATTATAGACAAGTGCAATATGTAATTGCTAGTTTTTAAATTATTTTAGTAATTGATAGTGTGAATCAGTTTGTTCTTTGAATGTTTAACATTAACTTCTAGTATCGTTGCTTGATATCACGTAACAAAACGATAAAACGATACTATAAACTTGGACAAATAATTTAAAAAACTTGCGACAAGATTTTCTCGAGAGAAAGAAATTGTCTCTGGAGGCAAAGCACCCTCCAAAATAAAAAGTGATAACCAAATGTAGCAGCAACGTTGACGCTTTTTCTTGTTGCTGGTACGTAATACGAAACGATGCGCACGGGTAGCCGTGCTAGAACAATTCCATCAGCATGCTCGTCGCCAATGCGAAAATGCTCAATGAGAAAATGCATAAACGCGCAGCATAAGGTCTTGTGTTAAAGTTTCATGAAAATAAAAAAAATAACTTGCATCCTGTTGCCCACGCACGTATTCTTCGGGGTATTCCATCCGCAGAACAAAATATAGTCTCGCTATAAGAAATATGTCAATCTCAATCTGATTTTCAAGCTTGCATACAGCTTTTACTTGGTCGGAAGATTATCAAGGTGGTCGGAATGTGGCCGTATGCTCTCTCGTGTCTGTTCTAGTTTTCTTGACGAAAAAGCCCTTTTGGCAGAGGATTCGCGAGCGCGCAGGGGCACATAGTTGAACGTCGTCTACGTCGCGAGGCGTAAATCCAATTTCCGTTCCGCCAATTTGACTGGCTTTCGACACGCTGCTGCAGCGGCAAAGTTTCAAGTGGAAAAAGAACGACCTAAATAGAAGTGGTAAAAGAAAATACTCTCGACTAAACTCCATTGTATGCGTGCTTATCTTTTCTTAGGGCGGTGTCCTCGTTACCTTAACGGCGAAACACTTGTCGATACGCACTACACCAAACTAATTATTTTGAAGAATAGCAGCTCTTTCAAATTCATAATTACAGCGCTTTCGAGAAACGAATGAGACAGTGGATGTATAACAAACGGTTGCTATATCCTTGGTGGGAGTCGCGACTAGCTGCACACGAAGAAGCAATTTCCCTGCGAGTGCTCGGGCGCGAGAATCGATGCGTGTGACATATACTTACGCGTTTCACACGCTCGTGTTGTACTCAGGCGCGTCCCCAAGAGACGACTTGAATTTTTGCAATTTTTATGATTACATGGGCTCATGGGATATATGTCCGCGTAGCACGATTTGCGTTTGAATTCTCACACCAGTGCTTTACGAGCCAAGCTCGACCTCAGTTTTTGCGGCGCGTTATATACGCTCGTCGCGCCGAGAAACGCTCATCGGGAGGGAAAAACCATTTTCTTTTACTTTACTCATGCGCCTTTCGTAACTTACCAGTCAGCGAACGCGATAGCGAAAGACTGTCGTGAAGCGTACTGGACGGCGCAGATGTTTTAAGAGTGGTACTTCACGGACAAGTATAATGCTTCGATAACTGATAATCCAACGAGGTTCAGCTGCAATGGCTAATAATAGGTCAAGATGACGTAACATATTCCCTTTGTATCATCTCTGGATTTCCACGATATTCTCTTACGCTTTCTCTCGCGCGCCATACAATTTTCTAATTACTACTACAACTCAGCTACTACAGCTGACACCCCTTTAATATTCCATTCTCTTCTTCTTCTTCTTCTTCTTCTTCTTGGCATTTATTGTTGTTCAAGCTGCTCTTCCTCTGCTCTCTTTCATTTTTAATTCGAGATCGCGCGAAAGCTCATCGTAGTCTCGCAACGGAAAAATGCACAGAGTTTAGGCGAATGCAAAAAATAGCATTTAGCGCAACGGAGCAAAGCACTTTTCATTTTCGTTTGGTTAAGAGAACAAGCGCGTGCGTCTGAAAATACCTTAGGATCGAGTGCGTTTAATTAGAAAAGTGCCGCACACCAAAGAAATTAAATTTGTCAGTTTCTTTAGGAGAGCGAGGCTTTGTGTGCCAACGGCAAACGTTTCCCGTCGGAATGCTACGTTTTTTCTCGCCTCTACTCTAGCGGTAGCATACGGGTTATACGCACGACAAAACAAACTATAGCGCGTGCGCTGCTAGCTCATGGGGGTGGAACAGATTAAAATAATTAAAGATAAAAGACGCGGAAGACAAGAGGCCACTAGCGCAAAGCCGTGCGCTCTGTCTCGGGCTCTATCCCATGGATAGAAAACTGACAGGAACAGCTATGCCTAATGTCGAATTTAAATAAGACGAACCTTTGACAATCGGACCTTCTCTTTTTTAGCTCTTTTTCCACGTAAGTCGGCTTGTTACTGTTTTATAGGCACCCGTTACTCAATCACCCATCTTGAAATGATAAGCTGCCTCATTCTTTATCTCAAATTACAATTTAAGCGAGTACCGATCGAGTAAAAATATTTAGTGAACGAGCAAAGGATTTACTTGGAGTCAACCAATCGCACAGGTACAACGAGAGAGGTCACTCGGATGTCTATTCATATTCATGTAAAATCTCGGCTATCGGTTATTATATCAAAAAGAAATTTTGAAATAACAGCTAGATTCCGCAGAGCATGAAATCAATATATTGGTTTCCAATGAATTCGTAGCCTCAACGATACCCATGAATTTCTTTGGCATCATACTCGTACAACTTCATTTAAACTCGTCGAATTGTTTCGTTAAAACCTAAAGTAGAAGAAAAAAATCAGCTAAAATGAGTATTAGTAATGATTTTCGCACTTGGATTTCGTGAAATTAAGTAAATAACATACCCCTACGAAGAGTAATTCGATCATTTGAACAATATTGTTTAATAAGACGACAGTAAATGATTTGAATGACGACCTACCTCAATGATTTACAAGATACTGATGTAAAATGTCTTTCTTTTCAAGGCAGTTTAACATTTATCACAGTTTTCTTTTGCGTTGTAAATATTGATCAAGGGCTATTTTTATTCAAAACGAGATATTTATAACGCAATCCGTATCGGTCAGTCAGCCTATAAGTAAAACTTTTATACTACACAATTTTTTTCACGAAGCCAAATCAATCTTTGGTGAAAACTTGTGTGCCAATGGGTATACCGTATATGTAACGTGTGCCTGGCACAAGGTACCGCGTAAAAATGAACAGGACTTCTCAAAGCCACTAGCGCAGTTAATGAAATCTGTCATAGTGAGTGAGTGAGTGAGAAAGATAGAAAGAGACAGAGAAAAGAGAATGGAAGTTGCAAAGATAAAAGATCTTGTTGACGGGCTTTTGACGGAAAGCTTATGGTCGACATTTTATTTTTCATTTCTCTCGATTTCAATTTAAAGTTTTAAAATCTGAAACAGCTTTCCGCTGTTATTTAATTGGATAGTTGATAATTTACAAGAGAAAAAGCAATCTGCAGCGAGTAATCAATAACTTCATGATGAGATATTTATTCAAACAATACGCTTTATCCGCGAGTCATCATCTTGCTTAGTGCGCCTTTCTTTCTGTCTTTTCAACAAATCTCATTATACGGTGAAATGCTCTTTTTCAAGATACTGCTCTCAGTTAGTCAATTCCTTTCCTTTATAATAAACATTCCAACAGTGGGTATTTTTCCCTCCGTCGGAGATTCCTCGAAAGCCTCGGAAATCAGTCGTTGGAACTTGTATTTTTTCTCGCCTCAATTTTTTCATTGACGGCAAAGCGGGCACATGGGAGGCAGAGAAGGGCAAAAGCTTGAGGGTGCGCTTCATCAGGAGAACCGTAAATTCGAGAGCGAGAGAGAGAGAGAGAGAGAGAGAGAGAGAGAGAGAGAGCGTCATGCCGTTGTCGGAAAAATAAGAGCACTGTGGCCCCGCGGCTATCGGCTCGGCGCGATCGACCTCGTCGATCGATTCAACGATAACTCCCACGGTTTTGCGCCGTACTGTTTTTCTCACTCCTACTCTTACTCAAATACACACTCTCTTTTTTTCGTTTGGCCTTTTATAAAAGAGAGAAAGAGACAGAGAAAGAGAGAAACTCTATGTATCTTTATTTCGTCTTAGTGCTGCCTTGGCCCATTTTATCGAGATTCGGCGATTTTCCTGCTGATAAAATTAATGGCGAGACTCGCTTTTTTACGATTTTAACCTCCTGTCGGAGAATATACCCTAGCAAGACAGTCCAGCTATCATCATAATAGACACTGTTACTGTATCTCACCTGAGCTACAAGAATTTCGCATAGATTGTACGCAACTGTTTTTTTTCTTTTTTTTTCATATTTGAGCTACGGCGTAAAAACGAAATGGTATCGCATCAGAGAAAAAAGTAGAAACGACAAATTGGCTTTAAATTGTTGGCGAAATGTCGTACGAGCTTTGCGGCTGAAAGAAAATGAAGGGATCGAAGATATAAACGTAAAAATGTAGCACGACACACAAGGTGCTCAAAATATCATAAACTTAAGGTGCATATATCGTATAGAATCGCTCAATAAGGCGATAGTGCGTCTTATATTACGCGCAGCTGTCGGCTCGTTCAGTCTGGCGCGCGTCTCTCCCGGATTTGGTGACACAAGCTTTATCGCGCGGCTTAGCCACTCAGCGTCCGCAAGCACACGAGAGAACGGGAGACAGGAACTTGCAACGGTTTTCGATGTCTCTTTGATGATCGGTTATTCGTGCGAGCGTTCTTCGGCTGGAGCCTCACTTGCTCACTGCCTTTTGAATTAAACATCAGCCTCGCGGGATTTTTCGCTGGCCTAAGGAAATTGAAGATACCAATGATGCGTTGGATTCCGTCTGCCTGTGCTCCATTCAATGTCTATACTTTAGCGCCATTGAACCGTGTCAAATCCATCAAGTTCTGTGAATTC